AAAATTGGTTGATTCAGTTAGGTCAAATTACAAGGGTCTTTTTCTCAAAACACTTTATTTTACCACTATCACTATGAAGATATGATTTCTTAGTGGTTTCCTCCCCCCCCCTCTCTTAAAAATATGCAATTTGCTATTGGTTTAATGGCCAAATTATAGTGTAGAATATAAGAAACTTAATTTTTTCCCTTCTCTTTAATTGATAACTACATAACTCTTATCTTTGTTGGTCAGTGTCATGCGGTTTGTGTGAATGAATATATGAAAGGGTATAACCTGGTTCAGTTTTCTACTTTTGCTCGGCTGCTAATTCTTTCTTCTTGAACTTACAGGTTGACGTTGCAGAGATGCGACAGAAGCTACAAACAATGGAGATCTTACAAAAGGAACTTGAACTCCTCCAGCGACAGAATGCCGCTTCTGAACAAGCTGCCCTAAGTGCAAAACAGAGACAGAGCTCAGGCGGCATGTGGGGGTGGCTTGCTGGAACTCCTAACCAGCATGTTGATGATGATGATTGATGCCTGATGTATCTAAGCATGATGTTCGATCATTTCTAGGTTTGGGGTCGTCACTTGTTGAGTTCTCCATATGTTATTTTTGCTTTTTCATCCCTTTTTTATAATATCGCAATAAAAACATACACAGTTTCTTAGCCAGTGAAAATACATACATCTTCAAAATCGATCTGGTGCAGGTACAGGAGGCCATTAGTGAAAGAAATTCTTTCTTAGTTGTTTATGAAGAAAAAGATTGTACCAGTGGAAGTATAGATATTAATCATTTTCGAAAAATATGAATTTGTAACTGATGGTACACAGATTTCTTTTATGGATAATAGGGCAAAAATGGGAGAACGGTTTGATGTTTGTTTACATTGTGAATCTCTGTGCTCTCCTGCAGATTGATATACACTCCCTTTATGTACAACTTTTCATAGCCCACCCCACTTTGTAAACTCTGAGAGTTTTGAATGTTGAATGTCTCTAATTAGTTAGACGAAAAGAATCAGCAATTTTATAGAAGTCTGATTTCAATTGCGGCCAAGCAGATTCAGGAGTCTGTGCATTTAAAGTGAACAGTCTTCCCTTGCAGGCACAACATACGGCGACATTGTGTCGGCGAAACATTGAGCTTTCGACTCTGAATTCCAGCTTATAGTAGTTAACTTTTCTTTGTGAATCCTGTCTCAAACTTGACTCTGTTAATGTTCCTTTGACATCTGTGAGTTTGGTTGATGCTGTGATTGTCCTGACCACTGCTTCTCCCACCTCTTTTGCTCCTCCAAATGCCTCGATCCTGTTGACAAACGATGGGCATGAGTTGGAGGTTTGTTCGTTTACAGAACTAATCATCGTAAAAAAAAAATTTGAGAAAATTATGGGCTGGTTTCTCTTTGGGTCTTCTAGCTTAAAAAAGTGAGGTTTTGGGTTCTTGTTTGAATATGTGAACGAGTCCTCAACGAAAACTGTACATGTGGATGGTAAATGTACACGTGACTTGAAGGGAAAAATCGTCAAATCAATGCATGTCGAACTTTACTTTTACTTATTTATTTAGGAATTCAAATTCGCATAATTAAATAAGTTGGAAATCTAGACATTCATTAGAACCCAAATCGTGGTTGTGGAAAGCCCACTCCTCAANTTTTATTTGTTGTTTTATTGTTGAATTTAAGTTGACAAATTTAGTTCGGTAAGACTCTTTTAAAAGAAAAAATGGATTATCTGTTATGACTTAGGAGCCCAAATTTTAAAGTTCACCTCATGCTCCGCGAAACACAGGTACGACATAAAGTTCTCACCAAAAGTTATTATATGTACATTTTTTCTTCTCAACGTGAGGTATGACTTCAAATTATAATACACCGTCAATTTAAATATACAACAAATTAAAGATTAACCACTTTATTTTCAGCTGGAAGGAAAGTTCCTGGAAGGGCTGGAATGCCAGAGAAAGTATTTCAAGACAGAGATGTGTTACAGAATAACAACCTATACCAGAATGTATAAATAAATGGATAATGATGAATGTACACTCCTTGGTGTACATTCATTTTGACACTCCTGCAATCACGGGCCCCACCCCATGTGACGGAAGTGTCAAACTTGATGCACACAAAAGTGTACATCAAGCATTGTCCTAAATAAATATTGGTCGCCGGCGTGTGAGGGGAGTGGGGCCCGCTTGGGACCCGCAATCACGGGCACCACCCCATGTGAGGGGAGTGTCAAACTTGATGTAGTGTACATCAAGCATTGTCCTAAATAAATATTGGTCGCCAGGCGTGGGTCCTATCTCTTCCAAAATGCGGCCTCACTCTTCTAAAATGTGATTTTATTTATAATTTATAACTTTTACTTTTATTTATTTATTTAAGAATTCAAATTCGCATAATTAAGCCCATGTTTGACACCTATTTTGTTTGAAAAATAATTTTTGGAAATAGTGATTGATGGAAGATTGTGTGGTTAAAAAGTAAAGAAAATTTTTAGATTCATGTGTAATATTATTTTATTAATAGAATGTGTGGTTGAAATGAAGAATGAAAAATAGAATGAGAAATAGAATGGGAAAAAAATGGGTGTCAAACAGGGGCTAAATAAGTTGGAAATCTAGACATTCATTAGAACCCAAATCGTGGTTGTGGAAAGCCCACTCCTCAAGTCGAAGTACAAAAACAAAACCCCCTAAATTTTCGTATGAAATGCTTTCTTTCTACCTCAAATGTTTGATTTCCATTACTAAAAAGGGCATTTACCATAGTCCTAGGATGACATGTACCATTACGTAAAAGATCGATTATGATATTATTGTCATTTAAGCAGTTATGTTCATTAATCTGAGGGGGCAATCGTGATGGAATCGGAGCGATGGAATTTTAAATTGAATTTAAAGTTTAGTGACTATTAGGATTTCATTGCTCAATGGGATAAAATTTACCCAAAAATTGAGATAATAAAATAGAAGGTTGTACGTACGAGAAGTCAATGGG